ACCAAAATTGTCCCTTAACTTTAAAAAGTACCAAAATTATCCTTAAACTTTCATCTTTGGTACCAAAATGGTCCTTCCGTCAGTTAAATGCCAGGTGGCTCGTTAAGATGCCACAAAATCACCGGTTTTTTTTTTATTTTAATGATGTGTCAATCCAGCAACGACATTTTTTTACACCGTGGCATTTTTTTACACGTCAAATTGTAATCTTCTCACTTTTTCTTTTTAGTGGGGCCCACATGAAAATTTTGTTTTCTCTTTTTCCAGTTTCAATCAAGTTCCCCAAAAATCATAGTTCAATTATCTTCGTTTCTTTTCATTTCCTTTTCAAATTCAAAACCCTAAACCTACTACTACTCCTGCAAAATTAAAATCAAACTCAGATCATCTTTCTGTTTTCTTCTTCTTCTCCCTTCTTCCTTTCTCTCTCTTCTCCCTTCTTCAAACCCAGATCTGGGTTTCAAAAGAAGGTGATATCATCGCAGATCTGGGTTTCAAACCCACGTCTGCAGATTCTGGGCGACGTACACCTCAAAGCCAATTGATTAGCTTTACTTTTCTCAGCCATTATCAACTCTCACCACCGGCACCGATTCGAGATCTAAAAATTCGAGAATTTACAACAATGATAGGAAACAGAAAGGAGAGTATTGAAGAGTATGAGGCGATCTTGACAACATATCACCCATCCTCAACGTGTTTCCGATGGTCGTTCCTGCCACTGATGGACCTCTTGGCATGTCCACACAGCTCAAGCGTTGTCAACAAAGCTCCACTCATCTTTCCGCATTCCCCATTGAAGACGGTGCAGTTAAGAGAAGAGAAAATTGGGGTTTCCTTGGACCAGAAAATGTAGACGATTGGACCAGAAAATTGTGTACCATTTTGTAAATTCAACACTTTTTAATATTTGATTTTAATTTTGTCACCAGAAAATGCACGCGATTGGACCAGAAAATGCAGCGGTATTCTTGAATCAAGAAAAGAGGAATCAAAAAGTTAGATCTAAGAGAGTAAAAAGCCTTTCTCCTCTCTCTCTCTCTTTCTTTCGAGAATCAATGGGTCCGACAGGCGTGTGCGGTGGTTTAGCAAGCTTGAGAAAACCCAAATCTGGGTTTGAAACCCAGATCTGGAGAGGAAGAAGGGAGAAGAGAGAGAGAGAGAAAGAATAAGAATCAATGGGTCTGGTAGGCGTGCAGTGGTTCAGCAAGCTTGAGAAAACCCAGATCTGGGTTTGAAACCCAGATCTGGGGAGGAAGAAGGGAGAAGAGAGAGAGAGGAAGAAGGGAGAAGAAGAAGAAAACAGAAAGATGATCTGAGTTTGATTTTAATTTTGCAGGAGTAGTAGTAGGTTTAGGGTTTTGAATTTGAAAAGGAAATGAAAAGAAACGAAGATAATTGAACTGTGATTTTTGGGGAACTTGATTGAAACTGGAAAAAGAGAAAACAAAATTTTCATGTGGGTCCCACTAAAAAGAAAAAGTGAGAAGATTATAATTAGACGTGTAAAAAAATGCCACGGTGTAAAAAAAATGTCATTGCTGGATTTACACATCATTAAAATAAAAAAAAAACCGGTGATTTTGTGGCATCTTAACGAGCCACCTGGCATTTAACTGACGGAAGGACCATTTTGGTACCAAAAATGAAAGTTTAAGGATAATTTTGGTACTTTTTAAAGTTAAGGGACAATTTTGGTGCCAAAGTGATAAGTTGAGGGACTAAAATGGTACTTAAACCT